AAAGAAATAAAGAAAGAAAGAAAATTTTCAGGAACAAGATGAACTGTAGTGGGTGGTTCACTACCAGTTCTTTACACGTGATTAAAACAATACAGTTCTGGAAAGGACTACAGAGTAGACCCATGGAATAAGTTATTTTTCAGAACTATATCAAGTAGAGTTAGTATATGATATTACCACTGGTACTTAAGGTTATTTTGGAAATTCTAGCTAATGCTATAAGACAACAAATGTAAAAGATATAAATGCTTGTATTTTCTATTTACCTGAAGATACATCTAGAAAATCTAAAAGATTCTACTGACGGCTAATTAAAATTAAGAGCTCAATAAGATGGCTGACTACAGGATGGAGTGTGAAAATGAATGCTGGCAACAGGCATTCTCTGGCCAGGCGAGGTGGCTCAGGCCTGTAACCCCAGCACTTTGGGAGGCCAAGGCAGTCGGATCACCTGAGGGTCAGGAGTTCGAGACCAGCCTAGGCAACATGACGAAACCCCAAGTCTACTAAAAGTACACAAAATAGCCAGACGTGGTGGTACGCCTGTAATCCCAGCTACCTGGAAGGCTGAGGCACAAGAAGCGCTTGAATCCAGAAGGCAGAGGTTGCAGTTAGCTGAGGTCGTGCCACTATGCTCCAGCCTGTGCAACAGAGCAAGACCCTGTTTCAAAAAAAAAAAAAAAAAAAAAAAAAATGCTGATACCAGCAATAATGTAGAAAATGGTAGAACACTTAACAATAAATCTAGTATGACATCACAAGATATAAATGAAGCAAATTATGTAACACTACTGAGAGACAGAAGCCTGAAGAAACCAGCATCTGTATTCAAGGATTTCCAGCTGTTTAAATATATAAATTCTGCCCAAGTTAAAATATCAATTTAATGTAATCCCATATTATTTTTTGATGGTGTTATGGAGGCTTCTTCATTAAAGTTTTCTTTTACGGTCAAGAACATGATTGCAGCGGACTCTCGGTGGCCCACCCCGCTCCCCTGAGCTGGGCTGTGCGCCCATCCAAAGCCAGCTCATCTCTCAGGCACAGGAGACATGGCAGCCTGCAGGAATTTTAGAAACGCACAAACATTGTTCTAATTTCTTTAAAGTCAGAAGAAACAAATGAAAAAAAAAAGCTATTTTAGGCTAAAGAACATGTTTTAACATATGATATTAATATACCTGTCTTTAGATCAAAGCAGTTGTCAAATTGAATTTTTTAAAATGTTAGTGCCTGGGAGGAAGGTGTTCCTTATGACCAGCTAGTGGATGATGAGAAAATCCCAGCCCGACTCCCAGGTGAGCCACCTCAGTGTGCAGTTGTGGGACCAGAATGAACTGCCACTGCCCTTCCAGCCAACTCTGGGGTGGCCCTGAGGATAGTGGTCCCAAGGCGCGGTGTTTGTGCACCTGGGAAAGAGTCACAGGAACTCACGGACAGTGGCAAGTGGCTTAGCAACTCATGTAGCAAGATTGGTGGCAGGGGCATGCAGACGGACCTGTGGGAGGGACCAGCTTTGTTCTGGACCCTCCAGAGCTCAGGACCGTGACGCAGGGGGAGGCAATGAGGACAAGGAGACCAGCATCCTTCCTCCCAGGCTCCACCGCAAAGCAGACCCTGCCCTCACCGCCCTAATTCTCAGTCGAGGACTCTGCTTGGATGAATTAATTGGTCATCTTCTCAATGCAATCTGTGTGACACAGAAGCCATTGGCCACATGGTGTTCAGTGACAGACCTGGGCTCAGATTCTATCTGCACCACCTGTGTGGCTGTGGAGGGTAATGAAGCCTTGGTTCCCCCTCCTTCTTGGATGCCTCCCTGATATGCGCAGATTGCCACCCTAGGAGCTACTCTTCCTGGCCACTTTGCCACTAGAGCCCGGCATGCAGAGGTCCCACCAGCCGGGCGTCTTCGCTTGAGATGTAAAAGGTGGGAGTGAGCAAAGGCCATCTTCTGCCCTTCTGGTGGATTTTTCTGGTGGCATGTGACGTCACAGAGAAGGGAGGTTTTCAGCCCGACCTGCTTCCCATTCTCCAGCCCTGCGTGTGCTGAGAGGCCTCTGTGTGGTGGCAGTAGCAGGAACAATGGCTTACTGACGTTTATGTCCAGTCCCTGGATTGCAGGCACAGCTGTGAGTTGTCAGAGCCAACAGCAGTGGCAGCCTCAGAGGTAGTGGCAGCGTCCCTGGTGGGTCAGTTCTGCAGTGTCCCAGGTGTCAGCCCCTCTAGTCCTCCCAACCATCCCCTGAGCACTCAGTGCCCTGTGTTCAATCCTTCCTGTTGGAAATACACAAGCACGTGGCAAGTGCTTGGTCCAGAGCTCAGCGTGGAGTGAGTGCTCCATAAATTGTTATTGCTATGATTCCCACAAGATCCTGCCCTTATGAGCCCAAGGTCTGGTCAGAGAGAGAAAGAGCTCATTAAAAAATAGCCTGATTGGCCAGGCATGGCGGCTCATGCCTGTAATCTCAACACTTTGGGAAACTGAGGCTGATGGATCGTTTGAGCCCAGGAATTCAAGACCAGCTTGGGCAACATGGCAGAACCCCATCTCTACAAAAAATACAAAAATTAGCCAGGCATGGTGTTACACAGCTGTAGTCCTAGCTACTCAGGAGGCTGAGGTGGGAGGATCACTTGTGCCTGGAAGGTGAAGGCTGCAGTGAGCTGTGATGGCACCGCTGCACTCCAGCCTGGGCAGCAGAGTAAGATCCTGTCTCAAAGAAAAAGAAGAAAAAAAAAAGAGAAAAAAGAAAGAAAGAAAGAAAGAAGAGAAAGAGAAAGAAAAAGAAAGAAAGAAAGAAAGAAAGAAAGAAAGAAAGAAAGAAAGAAAGAAAGAAAGAAAAAGAAAGAAAGAAAGAAAGAAAGAAAGAGAAAGAAAGAAAGGACAGAAGGATGGAAGAAAGGAAGGGAGGAGGGGAGGGAGGGAGGGAGGAAGGGAGGGAGGGTATTTTTTTAGTTAAAGAAAAGAAGGAAGCAGCTGGAGGACACTCCAAGGCTTGTTCAAACCTGTTTTATAAGAGTGAGTTGTTGTCATTTGTCCCTCAGCAAATGCACTGTTGCCCACTGTCAACCCCCCACTTCCTGCCCCCCTGGGCCCGCAGTCAGTGAGGCAGAGGCGTGATGTGCGTAGATCTGGGAGCACAGGCTGACACATGCAACAAAAGGCAGTGCCTGGAACCGGGGCAAGGACGGTGGGGCGGCCCGTTCTGCCTGGAGCTGGAGGACGCTTCCCGGAAGAGGCGGCATGTGGGCTGAGCTGTAAAGGATGAGTGGAGGAAAGGGCGTCCCAGGCAGGAGCACGCGCAAAGGCCCAGAGGCGTGCACAAGCAGGGGAGGTCTGCGTGTGTTTGCAGCGTTGGGGAGGGAGCTGGTCCTGGGGAGTGAGGCCAGAGCAGGCGCAGAGGCCAGAGGGCGTGGGCTTCTTGGCAGTGGCAGTTTGTCCTGTGAGGGTCTGCAGGGGCTGGAGGTTGTGAGCCTCTGGGAGGGGGGCAAGGACCACGTGTGCCCCGGCCTGGTGTCCCCATTGCCTGCCCTGAATGGTGTTCAGGAGCCTTTCCGGAATGGATGAGAACCGCCAGGCAGGGCAAAGACCAACCCTACAGGAGCTGGGCTGGCCCTCACCGACCTCTCCCAGCCCTAG